GCCGCTGTGTCGCTAGCGTGACAAGGAGAGGTTGACAATTATTGTTTGTTTTTTGGTATTGCACTCCCTTCCCTCTGATTGTAAGCCACCCTGAGTCCCCTCAGGGAGAAGGGCAGCCTATAAATCTTAATAAAATGTCAAAATGTCAAATGACAATGCCGGTGTGCCAGATGGTTACAAGATGGCTATAGCGAGGGTGCGGCAGTGAAAGGAGCCAAGGTGCTAGAATGATGGCGGCGGCGGCGGCTGTGAATCGGTGGCAGCCGGAGTGGTGCAGTTCAAAGGAAGGCTTCACGCGGCTGCGCAACTGCGCAATCACAGAAGGATGACAATGATGAGTTCAGCAGTCTCAGCACGGCAGAGATAGTGGCAAAGAGAGACCGGAGGGATATTCCCGTGGGCTTGTCGCTCTGTCAATGAGCCAATAAGGCCTGGAAGAGGCCCCTGGCCTGAAGTCTTCTGTGTGAGGCTCAGGGAAACCACAAATCCAAAGAAGCTCAATTAAGGACAATTTTGAACTGGAGATAGCCAATTAACCGAATTAGGATGGAAATTAGATATGAAATCTTGCCAATTAGTTAAATTAAGCTAGGAGTGATTGAAAGACACAGCCAGTCCAAGGGTAGGACTGAGTCTAAGCTGGGAGGAGCTACCACGGAGGGTGTGACTTATCAACTGGTAGACTCAGTCCTATTGGATACTGACAGAGTTAATCCAAATCTGGATAATGTCTCCACCTTCTAGGAGAATATCAGTAGATTATGGATTATAGATAGAAGGAAGTACAGATCTGAATTAAAGTATCATTGATAAATGAACAGATAAGCAGCAGGTAACTAGATATAGTTAGATTAATTTGATGAGAATGATATGAAAACATGGTCTAGGGACTAGAGTTTAATTATTTTCAGCTGCAGACTTGGTGTAAGTATTAGGGTTCACCTATTGAAATCAATTCTTCTAAATATATATATAATTGTGAGCAGTTATTATATATAAAAACAATCTTCCACAATTCTTTTTAATTATCTATGCATTAATCTCAATCATGAAAGTTCTGGTTTCAATTGAATATTAATCTTTAAAAAAACT